GAGGGGGATGGGACAGGACTGGCATGGGGGGAGTAGGGTGGGGCTGAGGGGAGCATGAATGGGACAGGGCAGAGAGCTGGGTGGGGTGGGGTGGGGGAGACAATGGGGCTGGGGAGGGTCGGGGGGTTGGGGAGAGGGACAGGGCCTGGAGGGGATGAGACAGGGGAGCAGGACTGGAATGGGGGGAAGTTGAGGGGGTGGGGATAGCAGGGGGAGCGATGGGGGTGGGATGACGGGGGAGGCTGAAGAAGAGATTTGGGGTAGGGCAAGGCTGAGGGCAGTGGGTTGGAGGGAGCAGGGGGACTGTGGGGGAGGCTGTTGGAACGGGGGCAGGGACTGAGGGCAGTGGGTTCGGGGTGGGAGGTACGGGGGAACTGCAGGGGAGGCTGAGGGAACAGGGTCAGGGTGGGGGCTGAGGGCAGTGGGTTGGGTCTACACTGGCACCTCTTAGCATTGCTGTGCCCGGTGGCAGACCTGCACCAGAGCTACCCTGGCGATGGAAGAGTCCTCAGTGGAAATGCAGACTTCATGACACAGACCCTCCTCATCACTTCAAACCTGGCACTGTTCTGGTCAGTTGCTAGGCTCTTGTCACTTTCAAACCCATGCAGGGTATCTGGCTCTTTTTCAGTTCTCGGGTTAAGAAAAGCCTCTAGATTTTGTGAGGGCTTCAGCATTCACTTTCCTACTTGACAAACTGTCTGCCTGACACATTGCTCCCAGGGCATTCATCTTTATTCATTATCGGCAGGTCCATCAGATTAATGAGCAACACGGGGAAGCAACACAACGGTGTCATGGATTTTTAATTTTTCAAACCACTTTGGCCTCAACAGGGATAACAGCAAATCTGGACAGAGCAGATGGGTGTCAGGATGGGTTTGCGTATTTTTTTTTTTTATTATTTTTTAAGTGAAAATGTTTGGGTCTGAGCAAAGGCTGCAAACTTCCCTTTGGAAACCTCTGCTGATCTTTTGCCCCAGGGGCTAACGACAGCCTGGAATCTGGGACAGACTTCCACATCCATGCAGGGTGAGATGATTGGGGGGAGGGGAAGGACTGTGGGGCAGGCAGAGGGAACAGGGTCAGAGGGGCTGAGTGCAGTAGATTGAGGGTGGGGGGCACAGGGGGGGACTGCAGGGGAGGCTGAGGGAACAGGTCAGGGTGGGGGCTGAGGGCAGTGGGGCTGAGGGGAGTCCCCCCAGAAAGCCCTGCCAGGGGGCCAGGTGAGCTCAACAGTGCTTACCTGGAGCGGCTCCCAGGAAGCATCCAGCAGGCAGGTCCCTCCCAATCGCTGTGGCTCCTTCCTACGGTTGGGTCGGGTCGAGGGGCAGGGGTAGGGGGGGGCCTCTCTGCCCGAGTCTACAAGGCCCGCCCTGCTGCAGCATGCAGCGGAGCGAGACCTCCTCGCTGCCTCTCTGTGTGCCGGGGGCAGGGGCAGGACTGCGCTCTGCAGGCTCCTGCCGGCCGGGTGGCGGGCCCCGTGGGCTGACACTGCCGCACCGGGAGCTCTCAGCTGCGCGCTGCCCCAGGGCCCAGGGAGGAAAGGTGAGTGGCGGCGCCGGCTTGCCGCAGTTCCCCCAGCGCGGCTGCCCTGTCAGCCCTTTTGGGTCTTTAAATAGCCGTCCGGGGGGGAAATCCCGGACATTTTTAGCTTTTTACAAATTCCCCCCGGACGGCTATTTAAAGATCCGAAACCCGGACATATGGTAACCCTAATGAAGGTTCTTATTTGAAAATTTAGCAAATGGATGATTGGCATCATGGTCCGACTGAAGGTGGGAGTTGACCTTGATAGTGAATGAGATATGATACGTAGAGTTGTGATAGGTTGTGTAGAGCTTTAAAAGTGAAGACAAGCTCTGTGATTTTAACTGTAAACCTGATGCACATAGGAAACTAAGTATTTAAATGTATGTGTCACAGATCCATGGCACTTTGTAGCCCTGACATTGGTGGTATGAATGGTATTGTTTGAACTTGTTTGTAAGGAATTTATGAAAATACAGTAATGTTGGGATATTTTCACAGTCAGAAAAACACTAAATTGCTTTTAGCTAAGTGTTTGTGGAAGACAGTAGATCTTAATCAGAATGAATTGGTCCAAGTCATTACTTTTTAAAAGGGCATCGCTTCCAACATTTTTGTATTCTACATTGTTTTTCTGAGCCTCAAATTCCTAATGGTTGGGCTTGCTCCCTGCTGTTCAAGCATAGCAGATCCAATCAGTGGCAGAAGATTTTAACTGTTTGTTTTGCCAATTTCCTGTGGACTTCAGCTCTCTTCTGTGTTTGAGACACAGCATGCCATGTGTTCAGGTTCCTTTGTATTTACTTGAATGGCTGAAGTCTCATGAGACAGGGACAAAAATGCCCCAAATGCAAAGCCTTGCTAATTTCCCCCCATTTTAGCACTGATCTGCTCAGTATGCAGGTATTTACAGTTCTCTGAAAGGTGGTTTTTCTGTCAAATTCTCCTGTTCCTGCCTTGCTATCATGTGCCAAATGACACACTCTATAAAATTCAGGAGACTGACCATTCCCACCAGGCTGGAACTATGCCTTGTCCCAGCATGAGCTTGGGTGGCTGAGTGGCAATAGAATTGCGGTTACATCTGATCACCACAATGGAGTAGGGGGACCAGGAGGTATAAGCAGCAGTAAGATAGTCTCTGTGATATTTACTCCATTGTTTGTGTATCTTGTCCATTGTTGGCGTGGGTTTAAATGACAGTCTTTAATCCGGGCTTTCAGTTATGTGAATACAAGTATTAAAGTGTAAAAATCCTGGGCAGTTTCATAAAGTAAGGCAGGGCAGTATTTCTTCTGTCTGTGTTGTTTCAAATTTAGTATAGTCCCTGAGTCTCATCAGTCTCCTTTACAGGAAAACATTCTAGAAAGACCGTTCTCCCATAGACCATTACTTCCCCAAGCCCAGGGGGATCATTCCTCTTCCATGGTGTGAGTAATCTGCCAATACACAACAGCTAACAGCTTTGCACAAGGTAATATAGTTTGGGCATTTTGACAGACCTCTGAAGGGTGGGGATAAAGGAGTAGGAAGGCATACCAAATATTGCCACCACCTCCTTGTCCAGTCTTCTCCCAAGGACAGACTCCTTAGCTGCTACTTCATTCTCTGAAATTTTGGTTGAAGACGTTCTGGAGTAAGTGATGGATCATGTGTGTGTGTATATATGTATATATATGTGTGTGTGTGTGTGTGTATTCTATCCAACAACTTAAGATTCCCCTCATAATGACCCAGACCAGGGTTTTGGCCACTCTCTCCATCAAAGTTCAAGCCTCAATTTGGGTATCGTTAAGGGCAATGAAAGTGGTTTTCTTGGTTAAATTGATTGGGTCTGCAGAATGAAATTCGAGATGTTATTACCCCATATATAGACTTTGCAGCCTTAATATTTTTAATGGTGTTTTGGTTTTTTTAAGTTTGCTATTTTAAACACGTAGGAAGTTGTATCCTGATTTCATCATTGGAACCATAGTATTGCTATCACCAAGAGCTCAAAAATGAGTCTGGCCTGGAGGGGGAAAAAAAATAAAAAATCAGGAGGCCCAATTTTTTGGTTTTCTTTGCTTCTGGTTTCTAAGTTTTTAATGTGTACTCGGGACATAATTTCAAACTCTTCTATCTTCCACATAGAAGATCTGTGGGGATGGAGCATGTTCATTGCTGATCGAATCTTTGGAGAAATTAGTTGCCAAACTAACAAACCTCTAATGAGCATGAGTGAACTGTGATATTCAGGCTTATAACTTGGCCAGATTTTCCTGGGGATAGCAAACAGCATATCCTTGTCAAAAATCATGTTTTGCTCCAAATCATAGGAGTGCTAGAACTTCCCATAAAAATGTCTGAAATAATGTAATATGGGTAAAATATGGGTATGCACTGCAACAAAAGGGATGTTCTTAATTCTGGTTAGCTAACTAGAGTTGGTTAACTTGAGGTAAAAGGCAGGGCAGTTGTAATGTTTACATGAGTTAGCAGGTAGTTAAAGCCTGTTGGGGAGTCCCAAACCATAATCAGTTCAATAGGGCAGTCTATCATTTGGAAGAGTGGCCACAGCCCCTCAGTTCCCCCTTGGTCATGGGATAGAACTGGGCCATCTCCATTCCTCTCTTCTATGCTGGCTTATTTAGAGCTGGTATGGAGTTAACTTCTGTGTCACAGAAGGTGTGCAAAAGCCCACATGCATGACTGTTTTGCTTACCAGGGAGGTAGTACCGAGAAGCTCCACAATGGAGGAAATTCCACCTTCATAGAATAAACTTGAATCCGTTTATTACATGTACTGAAAGCAAAATGTGTTGTTTTCTTTCAGATAATCAGTTCAGCTAGTCCGTGTGCAGACTTTTTTTTCCGAAGCTTATCTTCTAAATTAAAAAGAACACACGCACAATCAAATATGTTTCAAGGAGCTGCAAAACAGTCATTTGATGAGGCAGTCAGATTGATACAAAAATGTAGTGAGGTGGATTTGAATATTGTTGTTCTCTGGAAGGTATGTATGGTCTGTTTTCATTTATCCATATAATAGCATGATTATGAAACATGATTAGTAGAAAATGAGAGCAAATGAGATTGTTTATATCTAACGTAGTGTTCTTGAGATGCACACCTAATTTTCCAGACAAATGTTAGGTTTTGTTTTCATTAAACTTTAGTTTGTCTGAAAACAGGAAATTAAGTTAATTGAAACCACAGTTGGGACAGTACTGAACGTTATTACTATAACAATGAGTAATCAGGTACCATTTTTTGAAACATGTCTAGGTTTAAATGTGATTGGCTTAATACTTGAGAGATCTTGTCCCCTCCATATGTGCCTATGTTTCCTCATGGTGAATGAGGCTTTTTTTTGCAAAGATAGTAAATCAAGTTCTGACCCCTTTGAACCTTACACAGCCAGCGTCTTTAACTCTCCGGACACACAGGTGGACTCTCCCACACTTTGCTCACATTCTTAGAGGGTTTATTTGAAGTAATGCTCCCACTCACTTTTTAAAGGGATGGCTCCAATTATCAAGTATAAACACTAAAAATGTATCAACATAACAAATTACAGTAAATCTAAATACTGTGTTTGGCAATATAAAATTCCAGCATTTGTTCGGGAGTCTGCATGCTAACTTTTTTGTATATTTTTTTCATCTCCACGAAGCACCAGACTTTTTGCACTTCGGTTATGGGAGAAATTGTTGAGGGTGAAAGCCTGCTGTTTTCTTCAGTGGACTAGCCCATACATGCAAGACATGTTAGACAGCAGTAGAACACTGCTGGATTCCTGCTTTAGGGTTTCTCTTCCTAGCTCTAGGGGCAAATTGTGGTTACAAACAGTATAGCTAAACGTAACAATGCCCCCATTAGGGATTGTCTTCAGGGACTGAACCTGATGCCTCTGGATGTAAAAACTACCACCTCTACCATTTGAGCTACAAAAACATGACCTGTTACTACAGAAGCAATAGCAGAGCCATAAAAACCTTTATACGGTCTAGCTATTTACAGATAAACAGCACCTACTCACTGTTCGTGTGTAAGATCATTATCACTTCTAAAGTTTGTATTATAAAAGAGAAGTGTTATTTGATAACCTTTTCTAGGAGTGTTGTTTTTGAAAGACAAAATAGATGAGACTTGTCTTCATTATATTAGACCTGAGGTCTAGAACCAGCTCCATCTCAAGTGAGCTTCTGCAAACTGTTACCCCTCTGTACAGTGGGAGAATAAATGTCCCTCCCAAGGTAGTAGTAAGAGACGTTGATTCATAATGAGAGTTGTGAAGAGTTCCTATAGAGGGAGTTGTCTACACTAAAAAAATGTTGCCTCTTGTAACTGCTGACATGCGTGGTGTTCCAAATGAAGAGTAATTGCAAAAACAGTGAGATTCAAAATTCCCTTTATTTGACATGAAATAAGTGACTGACTTCCCCTGAAGTTCACAATGTGTTCATCTAAGATCTGACTTCAGTGGGAGTCTTGCACTCTGAGGCTGCAGAATAGGACCTTGATGTAAACAGTGGAAAATACATTTACCTCCCACCCATGATAGCAGCTTAGAAGCTGCCAGGAGACTTGCATAAAATCTCCCTTAAAATATGTAATACAACAAATTTGTAAGGCTTTGCTGATTGTGAACAAGGCATCAAGCATTAGACAGCTCTGTGAACTTAAACTGTGCTGAACAGTTCTGTGACTCATACAGCAGGGCTGTACTGAATTCTACAGTTAAACCAGGAATTTATGCTGCAATATTAACTAAGCACTAACTCACTTGGTAATCTTTAGTAGTGTGGAAAAAATTCTAAAAATATACCACAATGCCAGAGTGGAGCAAAACTGATTTAAATAAGTGTATCTACAATGTATCTTAAGATTTTACATAATTCATCTGAGATTTTGTTTAAAGTGAATTTTATTGTTTTTGTGAAATACACTGCATACCCAACTCTTCACAGTTCCTTGAATTAGAAACATTAAGGCAACACAGAGGACTGCTCTAGATGGAATTTATTAATTAGCTCCTTAGCTTTCTACTGCAAAATAATTGCACTTTATTGAAAGTTGAAGTGATTCCTTTATTCATAATTTTGTAAATCTGTTGGTAAAGATTATGGTGTACTTTGGAATATTTCTAAATAAAAGGTGGTATAAATGTAAGATCATTATCACTTCTAAAGTTTGTATTATAAAAGAGAAGTGTTATTTGATAACCTTTTGAGGTTTGCAGCAAATTAAGAAATATTAAATGTCTGTTATCTTTGTATTTAGGCATATGTTGTGGAAGACAACAAGCAGCTTATTTTAGAAGGCCAGCATCATGTTGTTCTTCATACAGTAGGGAAGGAGGCTTTTTCCTTTCCTCAAAAGCAGGTAATCCTAATACTTTTTTGTATTAAAAACCTCTTGCTTTACAAAAGCCTTTCCAAAGTGTTCGGTATGTTTCCAAAATGTGTGTATCTAAATAAATTAATGAGATTACCTTGTAAAGGCTTCTGTAGTATTTATTTTGTAAAGCTCTTGTAAGTATACATCTTGTAAGTTAAAAGGAATCTGCTAATTTTAGACTAATTTTGGCAACGTACTTTCAAGTCTGTTAAATGACACAACTATAAAAACAAAATTTTCAATGGAAGACTTAAATACATCTAAGGTCTTAGAGCAGTGGTTCTCAACCTATTTACCATTTTGGGCTGCATATTCAGCTCTCTGTGTTATGTGAGCCACATCCACACAATATTATATACCACCTGTATGGCCCTGAGAATGTCACATGGACCGTAGTGATGTGCTGATTGGACCACAAGTGGTCCGCAGACCATGGGCTGAGAACCACTGTCTTAGAGGTTTTCTGCAGCTGCAGTGTAACACAATAAATGTTAAAGGGAGTTAACGTGTAATATTGGCTAAGTGTTTTTAACATATAAAAGTGTAAGCAACAGAAGAGTGTGTTTGGAAAAGACATGAATAAAATTTTAATTTTAGATACTGTCGTATGGCATAGTTCCTGATTATACTTTGATATAGGCACTGAGGATTCTCTAAATACATGTTTACATATTAGATCTGAATAATGTCTTGGAAGTTGTTAGTGTACTTCAATGATATGCTGATAATGGGAACGTCAAGTACATGGAAGAGTGTCATTGAATGTGCAAGCTTTTTAGTATGTAGAAGCCTAATTAAACAAACATAATATAGGATATTCAGACAAATCTATTAAGAGCTAAAGTTCAGTGTTTTAACACGTATTGGCTTTACTTAATTTTTAGTAGCATTAATTGCTGGACCTCAAAATGGTTAACTTAAGTTCATGTTAAAGGAAAAAAGGCAGTAAGCCTATGACCCATGTAGATGAGATGTAACTGCATAACTGTCTTAAACAAAAACTTCCTTAGTTTTGTTGCAGGATTAAAATCAAACTGGATGAATTACATTCAGAGCTCTTAATACAATATTAAGTTAGTACAATTCTTATACTAACATGCTGACTTCTCTGTTGCCTCTTAATACAATATTACCTGGTAATATAGTAGTAGTGAAACTTGGGTGAGTTCTCTCTGGCACAAAAAAACCCCAATCAACTTGGGATAAAATAAAATAAGTTGACTCCAAAATAAGGATCTTGAGTTTTGCTGCACTAAGGGATTAAATAAAAACACTTGAATCTTTTGTATTCTGATGTATTTTGTGCACTAGTGTAGCTTTCCCAGTGAAACTTAGCAGAGTTATAAAAATTAATAGAATTATCAGAGGAAATAACTGGAGAAATCGACAAACTGAATTGTGAGAGATCAATCAATAAAATCTTTCTACCATTGTAATTAACTTTTAAAATATCTGTTCTCACTGATATCACAAAAGCAGCTATAGAAGAAAATGAATAATTTGGGTCTGCAACAAACCAGTGAATATCTGTGTGTGTGTGTATGTGCAGCATTGGTAATCATAAGAATTAGTAGTGTACAAAACTGTATTAACTCAAAGTGTAATACTGAACACATGAATAGTCCAATGTATTTGTGAATGTGAAGAAGAATTTAAAACAAGTAATGTGCAAGGTAAAGGTAGGTGAGTCTCAGTAACTAAAAGTTAAGTAATACTATCCTGCCCATTTTTGTTTACGTGTTAGCTATCTTAATTCTGTTTTCCCTTAAATCTGTATTGTATGTATTTCCTGTGAGCTCTTCTGCAAAAATGTATCGCAAACTTGACTATATTTATACCGTTAGCTTGCTAGGACAATAACTTTTTTTTTTCCCCCCTAATTGCATCTGAAGGCAGATATGGGTATCTATCTAGATATGTACATAGCCCCTGTCAGTGCAGCATCTGAAGCTGTAATGAATTTGTCCTCACAACCCTTCTATGGGATGTATTGATTCCATTTTATAGATGGGGGAAAATGAGGCCTAGAGTAAGTGGCTTGCCTTGTGTCTCATAGCAAGTCTGTGACAGATGTGGAAGTTGAACCCATGTCTCCCTGGGTTCCAGTCCAGTGCCTCACCTATAAGAGCATCTTTCCTCTGTGGTATCTATATTCCATTTATGCTTAAGAGGCGCAGGCTTCCGAGTTCTTAACCATTTCATATCAAAATGCTTATATTTTTGTCATTAGTGTCTTGTAACCGGTCAGCACTTTAAAAAATGCTATTATATAGATATTTCACTATTTTTATCTAAAATTGTACACATTATAACGTCTTTCATTCTTGTGTAATCCTCATATCATGAAACTGATTTATACAATGGATTTTGTGACTACTAAAACAAACCTCTGCCATGCTGAAAAGTAGCTTTGTTTTGAGAAATGGCTGAACCATTTTTTACTGAATCTTACCCCCCAAAAATTCAGCCCTGAGCAGACACCTGGCATGGAAAACTGTCAAATTTAAGCTATTTTGACTTAAGTTCGCATCTGAAACCAATGGCTTACAAGTGTTGGGCAACCTTAACTATAGGCCTCACTGTCTGTAACTGAACAGAAGAGATTACAAGGTAGAACCATGCTGCTCAGGGAGAAATTATTCAGCCATAGTTCTAGGGGGTCTCAGAGGAATTGAGCTACAGTAAAGCAGTCATGGTGCCATTTTATTTGTGGTTTGTGTTGGGGTTTTTTCAATTACCCAGTGCTGCTAAACTGAGAACATATAATTGCCTTTCCAGCAGTTGCCAGCAGGAGATTATCATCCACAACTGACTGAACCACAGTAATTTTCAAGGAGACTGTAAAACCAAGATGCTGACAACATGGAGTCCATAATAATTCCAGCAGAACTCTAAAAAAACTTAGTGTTATCCTGGACTTGATCAAATTCCAGTACGAATAATTGCATATTACCTGACTGATTAAATTGCACTTGTAACATCAAATGCATACATTTCCTTCCCTAAACTTTTGACCATAAAATTAGGAATTCTAAATCACTCTTCGCTATCCTAGCTAGCACAAGAGTAATAAAATCATATACTTCAGGGCATAGTTTGTTCCCTGTGGAAATCAAAGATTTTCCCCCCTATATGTACAGTATTTTACCACTGTCTATATATGCATTACGAGGAGACGTAAGGAGGGATTTTCACTTTCATATTCTACATTAGGTTTTGGTTACTGTTGGATGCAGAATATTGCACTAGATGGATCAGCTATCTGTTTTGGCACATCTTAGTCTTAATATTTTGTTCTAATAAGTTATAAATAGAAATTATAACTGATAGTGCTGCTACATCCATGTGCTGTGCTCTGACGCATCTAATGTTGCTAAGCAACATTGCTTTTTAAAAACTTGATTCACGTGCAGTAGTGTAGCAGTCTCTTTAATGAACAGACAGTTTTGAATCTGTTTATCCCCTTGGCTTTCCTCACTCCTCCAAGTCTACACATGAGAAACTGCTCTTGAGATAAAATTAGAATCAAAGAATGCCAAATATAGCTTATTTCTTTGAGCTGCCCAAAAAAGAGAGGCGGGGGTGGAAAAAAAAGGAAACTAGGCCAGGTGTGACTGAGTTCTTAAAGAACTAAGTGATACAATACAGTTTCTAGCAATAATATGAAGCAGAAATTAGAAATAGGAACTTATGAATATAAACTGAGGATTGGGTTTTTATTTATAAAACGGAATCAATTCAAGCAAACTACTAATACAGCCAAATATGTGACTAGAGATGCTATGGTAAAAGCTGTCTGGCCTACAAAATTACAAGCTTTGGCAATAAACCTAGCATTTGTACACACACTTTATTTTTTATATATATTTTTAATATATATATTAAAAGTGTTCATGCTCTACTGTTACCTTAGACATCCTAATACTGAACCAGCTATGCCCACTAATATGTAACATTTTTGGACAAAGGTCCATCTATGAAGATACTCATTATAGGATAGGAATTACTGCAATTCAGTGAAAATTAGTTAGGTATTTGTAGGAACCCTCCTTTCCACTGCCTCTAACACTACCATAGTGAAGCTCTTTTTAGCACTTGGAGTCTTACCTGTCGTCTTCATCTGCAGTGACCAATTAGCTTTAGCTAGCCAAAGCTCAAAATGCGGCTACTCCCAATCTATAATTGCCCTGGCTCACTTCAGTTCTCAACAGCTCCATCGTCCTCCCCCTTTGTTTCCCAGCCTACAGTAACCTGAAATCCTTTACTTTTTAATTTTCCACATTCAAGTTCAGCCACTTCTCCATATTATAATATTCCTTACTGTTTGTCTAAGCGTTTTTCTCTTGATCACATGGGTAGAAATTAAAGCTAAAGGAATCTCAAGGCCAAAAAGAAAAAAATAGACTGGAAGGGGATTGGGCTGGATAATGTTGCAATTTTAATTAAAAGTAGGGCTCTCAATTGTAGTCAATTCAAGCAATTAATTAAAAAATTAACTTGATTAAAAAATTAATCACGATTAATCAGTTTTATTCACACAGTTAATATAATACCAATTTAAATTTATTATAATTATTTTTGAATGTTTTTCTACATTTTCAAATATATTGATTTCAGTTACAACACAGAATACAAAGTGTACAGTGCTCAATTTATATTATTTTTATTACAAATATTTGCACTATAAAAGAGAGAAATATTTTTCAGTTCACCTCATATTAATACTGTAATGCAGTCTTTTTTTGTGAAAGTGCAACTTACAAATGTAGATTTTTTTTTTTTACAACATAACTGCACTCAAAAACAAACAATGTAAAACTTTAGCGCCTACAAGTCCATTTAATCCTACTACTTGTTCAGCCAATTGCGAAGACAAACAAATTTGTTTACATTTACAGGAGCTGCCTGCTTCTTATTTACAATGTCACCTGAAAGTGAGAATAGGTATTCACATGGCTCTTTTGTAGCCAGCATTGCAAGGTATTTACGTGCCAGATATGCTAAACGTTCATACGCACATTCATGCTTTTGCCACCATTCCAGAAGACATGCTTCCATGCTGATGACTGGTTCTGCACGATAACAGTCCAAAGGTTTAGCATTTCAAGCCTCTGCCATACGCTTGAATACAGGTGGTATCTCAGACTGTGGCCTTGCCTAGGCTTGGATTTAAAGATGTGGTTCTTAGCTCTCCACTAGGCTTTAATTCTTCCAGGTTAGCACAAGTTAAAGGTAGTGTGCCTTATCTATAGTAGACTCTTAAAATGTGTCAGCACATGTTAGCTAACACATGCTAATATCACCCCTGTAAATCCAAGTCTAAACAAGACCAAAGACTGGGTTGGAGAAATTTGGTTAGAGAAGGGAACCTTAGGGCAAAAGCTGGTAGCTATGAAGTGACTATTTGTAAGTTATCAGAGGGAGGAGGTAGCTTGTGCCAGTGAAGCTTCATATATGGGATAGGAAATTAGAGGATGAAATTGGGTATCGATGATGGGGTGTTCAGGCTAAACATAATTTATAAGAAAGAAGATGTTACAAATCAACACTTTTGGTTTACATCATCAGTCGCTATGGAAAGAATGCAGGAGATCTCCCCCTCTAGTACCCATTTCGAGACACATACTTTGAGGTTGCCATTTTTATATTGTGGGTATTAGTATACTATTATACCAGTGTTTATTAGAGGGTTCTTTACAACATGTGCACACCAGTAAAATGGGTTCCTCTGAGTTTGGTTTTTAATAGTTTAAAAAAATGCACTTTTCAGAGTCCAATAGCCCTCATAATCTCACACTGAAGGCATACAGCTGAATTTGACACACCAATCCTGTCTGTGTTGTTTACTCTTCCAGATAAATAATGTAAAAAGTATTAATTTTAAATTAGGATTGAGCAAAGTACACAATGCAATCTTGTAGAACACCTTTCACAGAGCCTTTATTTCGTATGAATAGTACTTAAAGTTAACACAGGAGAGTAAAAAAGTAGGCCAAGGGATCAGGGGAGGAATAGCTTTAATCTGAGGTTTGAAATGAGAGCTCACTGATTCTAATCATATTCTCCCGATATTTCCAGTTTATCCAGATCCCTTTATTTTTGTTCTCACTGGCACTTTACATCACTTAAAATCTGGGATTTTTTCCTTTCCTCTCTAGCTCTTGCTTCCTCTGTCCCACTGGACAGCCATAGTCAGTTGGCTCAAGAGCCTTCTCTTTGCAGCCCTTGCAGCCTTCCTATTTATCTCAATCTTTCAAACTCCGCTAAGAGCATGTATTTTTCTCCTTGGAACTGCATGAGACTTGTGTAAACTTATATTGAGTATTCTTTTTGCTAAATACATCAGTTAATTTTAAAACAAGTATTTTTAACATTATCTGGAAAAGGTGTAAATAGCACATAGACATCGCCAAGTGACTGGGAGGCATTGCCATTGAAATCTATAGACTTGAAGGTGCCCAACACCTCTTGAGATCATGTTCATTGAACAAAAACTTCAAACTGATTTAAATAGTTGAAGGTGAATGTGTTTTTAAAAAAAGATTCTACCCCCTTTTGGCACCCATCTTGTTGAAAAGCAGCACCTTGTGACACTTGGGAGACCTTTACAAGTGTACCAAGTCTGCTTTAATACTGACTTAACAATTAAAACTTGGTTTGAACACATTAATTCTTAGTCTTTGTATAAGCCAATATTTAATGCAGGATGGAGATTGTAGTGTGGTTGCAAAAAACATTCTAAAACCACGCTGAAGAAACCAGCACAAGGTACATGGTCATTAGTAGTACAGGTGAGGGTAAACTCATTTGAAATACAAGCAACGGAGATCAGGTATTAGCAAAGATCTTTACATTTTTTCTCAGTAAAATTAAAAATGTGTTTTTCAGTTAATCTGAAGTTGAATGGTAACAATGTTTCCAATGTTAATTATATGAATCCTTTTTCAGGCTAACATTCATGGATGGGATTTCCCAATTTTTGTGATTCATTTGCCTAACAAAGGGGTTTCTTAGCTTCGTCGTTCTGATGCAGCAGTTATTCTCACAGTTAATAGGAGGAATAGTAGTTGTTTTATATTTGAATGTTCCCATTTCCATTGGTTTTTAGGAGGGTAATTGTGGGAGGTAATGTAATTGGTTCCTTTAGTGCTGGCTTGTAATATTGAACGACTCATTTTCAAAAACTGTAATTTAGAACAAGTCAAATGATCCTGATTCTCCACATCTTTTTGACTCCCACCATTCATATAATTTATGGTAAAAACTCATTCTGCCTGCCTCTTCAGAAGATGCTTACGCACTAGTTCTGGAGTGGACAGTTACGATTTAAAGTTCAAAACATTTGTGAGGTTTTTTAAAGTCAGTAGCCAGAATTTATTTAATCTGGGTATGAATCCGTTTTTATCAAATTTACATGAGAAGTTATATGTAACTGCACTAACTTTCCCATTATATGAGAAAGTTAGTGCAATTAGCACTAGAGTATATTTTAGCCATAATATTTTGTTTTGAAGATTGTTTTTGTAGTGTGGTTTATACAAAGGTTCTCGTTGTTTTAACAAGAATTATTGATATTCGTTCCAAGTATCAGAGGGGTAGCTGTGTTAGTCTGTATCCACAAAAACAATGAGGAGTCTGGTGGCACCTTAAAGACTAACCGATTTATTTGGACATAAGCTTTCGTGGGTAAAAAACCCCACTTCTTCAGATGCATGGAGTGAAAATTACAGATACAGGGATAAATATACTGGCACATGAAGAGAAGGGAGTTACCTTACAAGTGGAGAACCAGTTTCCATCCAGGACACATCACACGATCCATCGTCTACAGCCAAGCCCTAAGATACAACCACATTTGCTCCAATTCCTCAGACAGAGACAAACACCTACAAGATCTTTATCAAGCATTCTTAAAACGACAATACCCACCTGGGGAAGTGAGGGAACAGATTGACAGAGCAAGCCGGGTACCCAGAAGTCACCTACCATAGGAGAGGCCCAACAAGGAAAATAACAGAACACCACTGGCCATCACATAGAGCCCCCAGTTAAAACCACTCCAACACATCATCAGCTATCTACAACCTATCCTGGAAAATGATCCCTAACTCTCACAGACCTTGGGAGGCAGGCCAGTCCTCGCTTACAGACCGCCCCCCAACCTGAAGCAAATACTCACCAGCAGCTACACACCACACAACAGAAACACTAACTTGTAACAAACCCTGTTGCCTACTCTGTCCCCATATCTACTCTAGCAACACCATCGGAGGACCCAACCACATCAATCATACCATCAGGGGCTCATTCACCTGCACATCTACTAATGTGATATATACCATTGTGTGTCAGCGGTGCCTGTCTGCCATGTACATTGGCCAAACCGGACAGTCTCTACATAAATGGACACAAATCAGACATCAGCAATGGTAACATACAAAAGCCAGTAGGAGAACACTTCAGTCTCCCTGGACATTCAATAACAGATTTAAAAGTAGCCATCCTTCAACAAAAAAACTTCAAAAACAGACTTCAGAGAGAAACTGCTGAGCTACAATTCATTTGCAAACTTAACACCATTAATTTGGGTTTGAATAGGGGCTGGGAGTGACTGGCTCAGTACAAAAGCAATTTTTCCTCTCTCGGTATTGACACCTCCTCATCAATTATTGGGAGTGGACCACATCCACCGTGACTGAATTGGCCTTGTCAACACTGGTTCTCCACTTGTAACATGTGCCAGTATGTTTATGCCTGCATCTGTAACTTTCACTCAATGCATCTGAAGTGGGGGGGGTTTTTACCCACGAAAGCTTATGCCCAAATAAATCTGTTAGTCTTTAAGGTGCCACTTTTTCTTACAAGCTGACAATTGTGTGGTTTATGCAGTGGTGTTTGTAGCCTTGTTTGTCCCAAGATATTAGAAAGACAAGGTGGGTGAGGTAATATCTTTTAATTGGACTAACAGAAGTTGGTCTCGTAAAAGATATTACCTCACCCACCTTGTGTCTCTAATTGTCTGGTTTCTTATCTAGATTTTCCTAAACTCTCCAGGTTGCTTAAAAAGGAAACTCAGTGAGATGTTGTTAGTGTAGAGCAGCACTCTGAGTGCTTGTGTTTTGAAAGCCTTTCCGCCCAAATATAAAAACTATGGGTGGAATCCAGGCCCTATTGAAGTCAATGGGAGTTTTGCCATGACTTCAGCGTAGCCAGTACTTCATCCTCTGGGTACAAAGAGGGTTGTCAAAGTGATGTCTTATTTAGGAACCAAAAGACTAATCTTAAATCTGGGGTGTTAAATTGTCCAATTTCAATCTGTTGCCAGTCCTTCAGCACTAAGGTAATGTTGCTTTGAACTAAGGGTTTCAAACATGTTAAATTAATCAAATAATGAAATGTAATGATGCCAGACTTACTTTGTCTACCTGTTTTTCTGTAACTTATCCTATTGATTTTTGTCTGTCTGTTCAGATAAATTTTGATATTTGTTTTTTGTAGGGTTTTAAAAAAATACTCGGGAATTCTGATTGGGAGGACTTGGAACAGGTAACTGACTTTAGGGGGAAGAGCAATTTCTAGGGTGTTGATATATGCCAATCAAGATAATATTGAATATTCCCCAATTAGATAAATCTTCTAACCTTCCGTTCCCACCCTCCATGGAGTCGTATAGTCTCTAAATATAGCTAGCGTTACACATGGTGTCACCTTTCAGCAAGATGGATTCCATTACAGCAGGACCAGAAATGCCAACTGAATTAAAAAGATAGTTTCCAACTATATTCCATTGTTAATAAGAGTATTCTTCTTGCTTCTTGAGCATTTAGGTTGCTGGTCTGAGTGCAGGGAATTAGTTTTGGTTTAAAGGGCATAATCTTAAATTTTTTCAAGCATATGCTGTCATCTGATGACCTATGCCTAGTACAGCCAGACCTGGGGATGCTACTATAATGCAAATAATTAATAATTATTTAAATTTCCTGATTGAAGTCAGTGGCAAAGCTCCCATTGACTTCAGTGGGGACCGGGATTTTCCCTGCTATCTTTTATTGACTCAAGTCACAATCTCAATGTGTTTCTCGTAGTGTTTTGTCTTCAGTATTTTAAGAAAATATTGTAATATAAGTTGTTGACACAAGCGTAGCAATAAGCTAAGAATACTGTAACTGTTTCTAAGTGTAGTGCAGAAATGGGATTCATCAATCAACTCCTTATACTTAGCAGCTGCTGACGTTCATTACTGTGAGTGCATTTTATGTCACTAATTATTGACTCTGCATCAACGGTTCATAAGTGAATGAGGAAAGCTAACCCCTCATAAGTAACTTTTTGATTGGAGTAGATAACAGACTGGTTGGTGTTGGACAAGTACCATATCATCTAGATCAGGGGTCGACAACCTATGGCACGCATGCCAAAGACAGCATGCGAGCCGATTTTTAATGACACGCTGGTGCCTGCCAGGGTCCCGGCTGGCAGCCGCGTGCCATTAAAAATCCTGCCCAGCCCAGCCTGGCCCGGCCCGCTCTTCTCCACCCTCCGCCCCCTCCTGTGGGGGCAGGGGGCAGAAGCTTGGTCCTGCTGGCTCCCCTGCGTCTTCCCACAGTGTGCTGGGTTCCTGCCCCTCCTCCTTCCCTCCCTCCCTGCCAGCCGATCAGCTGATGGCCCTTTCAAGGGAGGGAGTGGGGGAGGAGCGGAGTCAGTGTGCTCGCAGAGGCAGAGAAGAAGCGGGGGCAGGGCCTTGGGGAAGGGGGGGGTGGAAGCGGGGCATATCCCCCCTGCCGTGAGCACCCCATGACCCCAGCCCACACACCCAGCCCTGAGCCCTGCAGCCCCGCACACACCCCCCAGGCCCCTGCCCTGAGCCCTGTACCCCCCTCACACACACCCAGCCCTCTGCTTGACTCCTTCACCCCCCCCCACGACCCCAGCCCTGACTCTGGCACCCCCACACATACCCAGGCCCCCCATGCCCTGACACCTGCACCCCCTCACATGCCCGCAGCCCTCTGCCCTGACTCTTGCACGCCCCCCAGGCACCCCCCCACATCCCCACCCCCACCCTGAGCACCAAACGGGAGCTCCTGCACACACCCCCCACATTCCCACCTGCACCCCTCGCACCAAATGGGAGCTGCCCAGGTAAGCACTCCACACCCAAACCTCCTGCCCCAACCCTGAGCCCCCTCCCCTCATTCTAGCTCCCAGCCAGACCCTACACCCCAATCCCCAGCCCTGTGCTCAGTGCACTCCCACTCTCAGCTCAGTGCAGAGAGAGAGGAAGAGAATGGGCCAAAACCAGGGAGAAGGTAGGTACCCACTGTATGTCGTCAGGGCCAGGACCCCAAACCGGCAGCGGACTGAGCGGGTATGGCAGCCGGGATCCTGGCTGGCAGGAGCCGTCGGATGGAACCCCTGAGTGGCAGCGGGCTGAGCCGCTCAGCCCACTGCCAGTCTGGGTTCCTGGCCGCCGGCCCTGCACAGCCCGCTGCTAGTCTGGGGTTCTGGCTGCCGGCCCCCTGCCAGCCGGGGTCCCGGCCGCAGGCCCCCTCAGCCTGCTGCCGGCCTAGGTGAACGGAACCCCAGACCAGCAGCGGGCTGAGCGGGCCAGTGGCGTAAGATCAACATTTTAATTTAATTTTAAATGCAGCTTCTTAAACATTTTGAAAACCTTGTTTATTTTACAATACAACAATAGTTTAGTTATATAATATATAGACTTATAGAGAGAGACCTTATAAAAAGCATTAAAATGTATTACTGGCACGTGAAACCTTAAATTAAAGTGAATAAATGAATACTCGGCACACCGCTTCTGAAAGGTTGCCGACCCCTGATCTAGATTCTGGACCAGATGCAGTCAGGGTGATGCACTGAAGTTGCATCTTTCCACATCATCTAATCCCCTCTCTCCTGGAGGTTGTACTTCACCACCTGCCTTCCCTTGGGCTTTCCACTCTTTGGAGGGGAAGGTAGTTTCCATTTTTGAAGGAGCTTACTAGGTTCCAGCTTTAGAGATGTACTGTATTAGCACATGTTCCCTTCCCACCCAGTGCCACCCACTT